GAGAGGCCTTCGGCGACGGCAGCAAAGGAGTCGGAGAAACAGTCGTCCTCCCGGACTTGGCGAGCTCCTCCTTGAAGCGAGCCCTCTCCTCCTGGACAGCAGAGTTTGTGATTAACGATTGATGTGCTTCAGCTCATTTACCCTTGGGATTAGTTTAAGGCGGAACTCTAAAGTTTTTTTCATTTCAGGTGTAGGGCTGTAAAGATGCGAATGGTTAGGAGGCTTAGGCTTAAGGTTTGAATCCACCGCCTTGTGGAGGGCCTCTGCATGCTTCAGATTCTGGGATCGCCGCCACATGTCCAGTCGGAGGACCTCATTCTCCCTCTTCACCTTCTCCGCCGTGTCCAACCGCTCAATGGAGCTCGCCCTTGGAGCTTTGAAGGGAATTATAACAATAAGGTTCAGGATTTAGGGTTTAGGGTTTAGGTTGTAAGTGCTTTGTCAGTCAGCCAAGACACATCACCTGCTCCGCCATCCGAGCCACCACCTCCTGCTGAGGGCCGGTGTTCACAGTCACAGCATGGCCAGGATTCGGCTGAGAATGCAAAGCAGGAGGAGGAGCACGGAATGGCTGTAGAGGGCCTGCAATGCTTCCGCACATATTCCAATTAATTGCTGCGCAAACCGGCTAGGCTAGTATTAAATAAACTTAGACTACTAACTTTGCTACTTCGTAGTACTGCAGCTAACCTAAATCATGTTAGTCTAATCTAACACTAAGACGACGCCCAAGCCTGGGCGGATAAAAGGGCTCGGAGAGGGAGTGCCCTTCGGAGCTGCCGCTGAGATTCCCTTCGGGAGGGCCGGCTTGGGATTGGAAACTGGAGAAGGCTTGGGATTGGCCTTGCCAAAGAGAGGCTGAGGAGGGCCTGACTTGGCGGCAATCGGTGGGTTCGCCTTCGGAGGACCAGCGGCAATCGGTGGGTTCGCCTTCGGAGGACCAGCCCCGCCCTCCGGGTTGGCCTTGCTAAAATTATAGCAATTCGGCCAACCCGGAGGGCGGGTTGTGGGATCTGGGAGAGGCCTGCCCCCCTGAGTGGCCTTCCACCTCGCTGCCGCCTTCGCCTCCTTAGTTTAAGGCTCTGGGTAAAACGAGTTAAGCAAGCTAGCTAAAAACTTAGGGAAGGAAGTAATGGTTGGGGGATACTCCTGGTGGGCCTAGAAATGATTAATTCAGCTCCTACCCCCTATCCCCCTAAAACCCTAAACCCCTAATAAGCATACTAAAACCTATGAATAAAAGTGATTCCGTGAGGACCGAGAGACCGACTCTCTGGCGGCGTTCCGCCAGTAGTCGGACACCTTGCCTTTCTTGACCATGGCAAAGGCGCCGACGGAGTCGGAGGACCTATCGAAAAACCTGGATTAAAGTGCCTAGCCAACTGGGCTTAGATCTTCAATTGAGTGTAGATGGCTTATGGAACTACTTATAGCTACCTGGATGTCAGTTGGCAACAGCTCAAATGCTAGTTGCCTCTCAACAACTTCTGCTATGCGAAGACTTGACCTGAATGTCAGTTGAGGCAACAGCTCAGGAGCTAGTTGCCTCTGAACAACTTCTACCAGCACAAAACTAGACTTGTACCTGGATGTCAGTTGGCAACAGCTCACAAGCTAGTTGCCTCTAAACCAATTCAGGCTATGGATGACTACAGGAGACTCACTCCTAATGTGTGTTAATTGAACAGGCCGGATGCCCCTCAGGCTACCGGGATAAGTTTTCGAAAGTTCGCAGGAAGTTCGCAGGAATCGCTGACTGCAAGCCGAGGTAGCGGCAGTGGCATACAAACATACCGAGAACACAAAAAACACAACGGAAACATAACCTGGCTGAATTAAGGGGTCTCGTCTGAGTCTGAGGGTGTAAGGATTTCCGGCTCATTGATTGAGTGCTAGATGCAAGATTCAGAGAGTTTCGGGTCGTTGTCCATTGAGTCCCAGGATTGTGGACTTAGGTGCTTAGGTTCGCGGGTGAAGGTGTTGGTTGAAGGCTTAGGCCTCAAAGGGTTTAGGCTATTTCGGTTTAGGGTTTGATCCGTTCTTGCCCTAAGACTGGCAATTGCCGAACCACTAGCCTCAACAGCTAGATTCTAAGGCTATTGAGTAAATGCTGTTGACACGTGTTGAGGATCACCCCACTTCACGTCTAAATCATGCTTCATAAGACTATGTACGGCAAAAAAACAAAGAACCCACACCATACACACCCCTCCACACTATGGGTTCCTGGGGCCGTGCTTTATGACACTGAAGTGGAAGAATACAGAAGCACCCCGGGACACCTACACAGCCCTCCATTAACAGGCTCCTTGGGCCATCCATGCATTATGTCATGTTATCCAATTATTGCACCGAAAACGAATATGAAACTAATATCTGTATCATGTGGGAAATACGGAACCCACCCCACAACAAAACCCCTCCACGCTGAAGCTTCCAGGGGCCATGCTTTGGGTTACACGCAGTGCTGTTAGCAATACTTTTTGTTTGGGTTAATGAAATAATGAAAACCCCGGCCAAAGCTCCCTAAACCTTCGGCCTAAACTCTGAATCGCCCTCCCGTCTCTCCTCCAGGAGGGCCAGAAGATGGATCCGCCGAGCCTCGTGAAGTTAGGCTTTAAGGCCCTAGGGTTGAGGGTTTCGGGGCCTTGGGTTTAGGGTTTCGGGGCCTTGGGTTTAGGGTTTCGGGGCCGAGGGTTTAGGGTTTGGGTGCTAGGGTTTAGGGTTTAGGGCCCTAGGGTTTAAGGTTTAGGGCCCTAGGGTTGAGGGTTTGGGGCCTTGGGTTTAGGGTTTCGGTGCCTTGGGTTTAAAGTTTCGGGGCCGAGGGTTTAGGGTTTGGGTGCTGGGGTTTAGGGTTTAGGGCGCTAGGGTTTAGGGTTTAAGGCCCTAGGGTTGAGGGTTTGGGGCCTTGGGTTTAGGGTTTCGGGGCCGAGGGTTTAGGATTTAGGGTGCTAGGGTTTAGGGTTTAGGCCCCTAGGGTTGAAGGTTTGGGGCCTTGGGTTTAAGGTTTATTAGGGCCCTAGGGTTGAAGGTTTGGGGCCTTGGGTTTAAGGTTTCGGGGTCTTGGGTTTAGGGTTTCGGGGCCGAGGGTTTAGGGTTTGGGTGCTGGGGTTTAGAGTAGTTAGTGGATAGTAGTTAAAGGCAGAAGTGAGTGGTTGGAAATTTGTGGTTAGTAGTTAATGGTTAGTAGCTAAACCTGGAAACCCAGGGAGGACCTACCAGGATGGGGAAGACCCCGATTAAAGCCAGCACCCCGCCCAAAACCCAAAAACATCCTCCTCGGCCACCTTAAATCCCAAAGCCTCCCTCATCACAACTTGTGCTACAAACCCTGCACTACGACTACGATTACTGATGAGTCAAGCCCCAGACTCAACCCGGAACCAAACGAACATCCCGCAACCCCAACCCTGGTCCTACTGTCGTCCTAAGTCGCCGAGTCCTTCCGTCCTAGCGGACGGTGAGTCCTAACGGACTCCGGACTCTATCGTCCTAACGGACGATCTCGTCCTAACGGACGAGTCCGACCTAACGGTCGGGCGACAACACGGACGACTTCTGAAGCTTAACCTTAAATCTTAATCCAAAATTCAGAACGCCTCAACCCGAAAATCCAAAACCCCGCACTGCAGATCTGAGCTGGGGCAAAAGCGCGACTCGATGATGTGGTCCATGGTGATGGCCAGGGGCTTTTAGGACTAGAGGGCCATGGCGCTTGAAGGGTTAGGGTTTAGGGTTTAGGGTGTAGGGCGTATGGTTCAGGGTTTAGGTGCAGGGGTTGAGGGTTGGAGTTGTGGAAAGAGGGGTGAAGGGTTTAGAATTTCAGGATACTGGAGTTTCGGAATCATAGGGTTTCTAGGGTCTCGGAATTATAGGGTCTCGTCAGAGGGTTTGGGGCTCAAAGTTGGTTCAACCGCCTAACCATAAATCTTGAAACTAGCTGTCCTATGTCGACTATGGTTTACTGCAATCTGAACCCAAAACACGGACTCTTCAGTCTGAAGCTCGGGCAGAAACACCGGCAAAAATCGAAACCCCTCCCAAGGAATAGCTAGTAATAATATCAGAGCTGGCTAGTAGGACCCTAAACCCTAAACCCTCATATAAGTAACCATATACCCTATTACAAACCCTAAAGGCTTAACCTAATATACCCACAGGCAAAGGTACATTCGGCCTAGGGTACCCTTTAGCAGTTCCCGATACTTGCTGTGCATTATATTCAAACTCGTGATCATGCGGCATTGCCTTGCCTTGCTCCTCGAGTTGCTCGTCATATTGTTCGCATCGTGCTCGGCACTAATTAAGTTTGTTCTTGTTGTCCTCCCTTCTGCCCTGATGACCTTTATTCCATCATCTTTTGGGAAAGATTAGTTGCCTGGTCTCGCCGCAAAACCACCCAGGTGGCAGCGATCATGACAACAAAAGCTGCCGAGCAGGTCCTGCAAGGGACTGGCCAAATCGGAAGGAGTTTTGATTGTCACACTCGCATACGGCATGCAAGGGTTTGGGGTCCAAGTGTTTTGGGGGGCCTAAGGGTTTCGACTCGCACGAAGCAGGCAAGGATCCGCACCTCAGATCTCGCCGCGCACAGAACAACGAGCCAGCATGCAAGACGCCCAGCACCCCTGCCTACAGCAAAACACCCTTAAACAACACCCACATGTGAGGGCTTGCGCACGCTTTCGCAACTCGGAAACTTCCAGACGAAGTTGTTGATTCGGATTGGCACTACGGGGAGTATCAGATCGCGTGCGCATGCTTCATGCTAGGGTTTAGGCCTGGACATGTTTGGACCCTCAATTTATGGAAAAGCTTCTTGAACTTCTACTGCTATCCTCTCGATTCCACCCCTGCAATGATTGGTGGCCATACCTGCGCCACTAGACCAGGACAAGGATCCTAGAGTCCTCGGGCTTGGGGGGGCCGGAACCTTCAGTGAAAAATTGTGACCCTGTGCAGGAAGAAAGGGAAAAAAGGTTCAGCGAGCTACGCCTCTCCTCGTGTAGAGCCGATAGCACTCCACACCCTCACAAGCTTCGGGCTTCTTGAAGAGAAAACTCCAGATCGGCTCGAAGATGGCGACCGCCACGTAAAGGATCCCATAAATCACTCCGAGGTGCGTCGTTCCAAAAGTTAGCCTCAAGGCCGGCGGTACGATACCCAGGAGCCCTCCATAACCAAAGGAAGCCAGCGAGTTTGCAATGCGCACGGTGCCTGCATCAGGAGAGGAGGGAATGGCCAGCAAAAGCATGCCCAAGGTGTACACGATGAGGGATGCAAGGATGTAGGAATACACACCGCCCCAACGGTGCTTCCGAGTCCAATCCAGCGGAATGCAGACCGCTAGGCGTCCGAATGCATTCACTATGCCAAAGACGCTGGCGAGCTCTTTGCTGCTCACATTCACCTCGGAAGCCAAGCTTCCCTCACAGTCGAGGAAGCTGAAGCTGAAGCCAATCGCCACACAGAAAAGGACCATCATGTAAGCAAACTCCGAGGTCTGTAGAGAGCTCCAAAGGCTCTTACGATCGGCTTCGGCCTCGGTCTCCTCCTCTGCCTGCGCCATCAGATTCCGGCAGAGCCAGAACACGATGCACATGAGCACGCCTACGACGTTGAAGGTGATGATGGCATAGATGAGATACCGCATGATGGGATCACCGCCACTCTTTTTAAGAGCGTAGTAAGCTTGGGTCTGGATAGTCATGCCAAGGGACATGCACACTTGGACGCAAGCCGATACCTGCCCAACGTATTGTACCGGGAAGACCGAGAGCGGTGCAAATGAGCCAATCACGTTGAAGAAGGTGGCTGCGAATCCAAAGCAAATGTAGCAAAAGGACAAGCCTCCCATTGTACTGACAAAGGACGGGAAGTCAGGCGTCCAAACAAGCTGTAGGATGATCCCAAAATCAGCTATGAGAGTTCCCAGCATCATCGTTGGCACACATCCTTGGCTTCATTGCTTTCTCCGGTGCATGACGGCGCCTGTCTACGTGACCTCGCATCTCTGGAACGGAATCCAGCACAACTGCAAAACGCGAGACAACCTGCTAATTCTTCAAAACGTCCGAACCGGTCGTAGCAAAGACCTGGTATGAAGGAGAGAGCGCACGCGCCGAAGTTGAGACATGAGTAGAGGAACTTTCCCTGCACCTGGGCCATGGTTCTAGACAGAACCAGCATTCTCTCTGAAGAGAACAGAAAAAACGTGCGCCTCCGTCAACCCGTAGTAGTCATTGAAGTCACTCACTGAAACTCCGTTGGTCAAGACCAAGCCATACCTTGTGCGCGTGGGAAAGAAAGGATCGCCAAAAAAGCAACGTAACGGCAGGCGGCCATCTCACGACAGGCAAGGGACTGAATGACGCCCAGGAGGCACGATACCAGAAGCAAAATCCGTCGAAATGTGTACGCTGGCAGACCCAAGTAGCTGCTGAGGCTCATGTTCTGCGTGATGAAAGACCTCCGTGGTCAACTTCAAGGCTGCTTTGACGCAAACAAATAGGCACTTCCCATTAGCTTCATAGAAGTGCCCAACACCTCGACGCAAAACAGGATCCTGCAAACTGGAGTTCCCTGAGGTCAGATGCCGTGCCCTGCAGCCAAGAATCGAAAGTGATAAGCTGTCCATGGCTCCCCAGCGTTTCGTCTTCAGCGAACTATCACAAGCGACACTTAGAATTAAAGCCTTTCTGTTGCTGCTCGTGCTAGTTCCTACTTAGTTGCATGTTGGATTGCAACAGTAATCATCTGGAGCGTTGTTGGGCACGTGGACCTTCTGTTGCCCCGAGCCGCTCAAATCGTCTTGGACACACACAACAGCATACGCCGCACCGACTTGCTTACGACATGCAACTGGCCTATACACTGCAGATGTGTGGAACACATCGTGCCGCGTAGTAGAAGCAGCGACAGCTCGAACTAGCCATCACGAATGCATAGCTTCAGCCGAGAACCCGAAAAGAGCAACAAGGCCCGCACAGCCCAGCGTGTGGGCCCCATCGCGGCCACCCAGCAGTTGAGTGCCTTTCAGCAGATTACCAGGTTGCATAACATGCACGCAAAAACTGCTGCACCACTAGAAAGCCTAAGAACAACCACACCCACTCAGACCACATGGGCGAAAAGGCAAGCACCAAACGGGCCTGCACACTTGCTGACACCCAACCCGAACTTTTTCCATCTTCACGTACGTCAGTTTGGCTGCTTGACCTTGACCTTACATTATCCTGTCACAAAAGGCAACCAGCAGTCAGCAGACGCTGTACTCATATTGCATCACAAAAACTCACAAAAAGATGCAGAGGCAAAAGATGGCTTCTTTGGTATAGCATTCCACTCTGTGGTACTGTAGTCTACATGCATTTCTGCATACACAACCTGCATGCTACACCATGGCTATGAATCCTGCGGTCTCATCGATGCTCCAACACATGAAAGCATTCAATCAGCTGACAGATTGTCTGCTCATGCTGGACTGTGCCGCAGCACTTCTGTTCTCGATGCCTGGCGAAGCATCGAGATGCCGCCGCCTGCTGAAAGAGTTCATTGCTGCTGAGTTAGTTTGTGAGAACTGCGAGGGTCGGAGTTTAGAGATCCAATACTGGCTGCGGCCTGCAGCCCATGTCTGGAATCTATCGAGAGATCTTGCGAAGGCGCACCATGTTTGCAAGATATCGGGATGCCGCATCCGTCGGGAGCCGCCTGCAATGATCGCCTTTAGCCCGCGCCGAAGGTTGCACCATGCACGCCTGCAGGCCAGCTTAGATGCAAAGCCATCCGGAGGGCAAACAACTGATAGCCAAAGCGCAGCTTGTGAAGGCCATACCGCCAAGCGCGAAGCGTCTGCTCCGAGACAAGCCTGGGCTCACACTCCCCTACTCAGTTTTCGGTTTGGGCTTGAGAAGAGGGCTGGGCCTCTGCCCATCTTCGTCTATTTACTCTTCAAGTCTCAAAGAAGGGGGGCCTGAGCTCTGAGTTCAATCCAGGCCACGTCTGGGAAGCCCAGATCAGGCACTTTTGCCTGCGAGCCTCTGGAAGAGCAAAGCAGGCACGCCAAACGCAGGGACTCTCTTGATCCAGAGAAATGCAGCTCAGCCGGGCCTGCGCCACCCACTCTCGGAAAGCATCAGCGGCGGATTTTGAAGCGGCCTCTTCAGGTGCCATCTTCACAGACTGGATCAAGAAGGCCCCCAAAAATCAGCTGAGTCGCAAAGAATGCCCGACCTCAATCGATCATGAGGTGTAGCTGTCGGTTACTGTCCTACACGGTTGGTCGCCCGAAGATAGCGGAAGATATATCTTTGGTGCAAAAGCATAAACAGCTCTGTTTGGAGATAGCAAAAGATATATCTTCGGGCCAAGATAGGCCGAACATATATTTAGATATAAGAAGATATATCTTTTTTGATCGAAGATAGTGAAGATAGACAGGAACTTAACATAAGATAAAAAAGATAAAAAAAGATAGAAAAAGATAGAAAAAGATAGCATGTGCACAATTTTGGCAATAAAACGAGAACAACATGAGAGTGTGGCGGTTGGGAATCGCCGCATAAACTTGGTCTTAGCTGATACATGGGTTGCATTGATTTTAAGAAGGTTCGGCGGCCCGTCGGGTTGAACTGTGCTTCCTTCAGCACAGGTTGCCTGCAATCTAGACACATTGGGCGGCTCTTTGGGTTGCCCTGTGCAGATATAGATCATCGACGGCGGACATATACATCAGTTCGCTGACCGGGCAGCAAACATGTCTTTGACGAGGTGCATCGGGGCTCATGAGCAATGCCTCGTTTCTGCAAAAGCCCCCTGTGTAGCTGCGTGGTGACCGGGAAGTTTGGACACTGCTGCCGATTCTGTCCGCACGGACACTCCGCCGGGTGCCTTCGCCGACAGGAGCGACGAAGCCGTGTGGGCGACACGGTGACGGCTTGCTTGTCCGTGGGCTGTCTGCGGTTGGTGGAGCCTCCTCACCGGCGCTGCTGCAAGCATTGCCCTGTCGGACACTCTGACCGTTGCCAGGATCGAGCGGAAGCCTTGGCTGCGGAAGCAGAAGTTCGAGCGAGGCAAGGCAGTGGCGGCAGCAAGGCAGGCGACTCCAAGCCTTCCTTCTCCTTGGAGGAGATGGACTGAGGAAATATGTATATATCTTGTGACGGTGCCGGCACCTGCAGCATGCAATTGTCTGTTGTGTTTTGAAAAAGACGAACCTTTTGCACGTGCAGGATCTTGCAAGAGGAATGGCATCATGGTCAAGGGCGGATCCATGGTCCGCCTGCAGATCTCGTTCGCTGGAATCTAGACGGCGGATGGCAAGCGGATAATGTTTATAGGAAATATACAGGTCTGTTAGCCTCCATGTCGTTCAGAGTTGTCGTTCGCTGGATCCATCGGCGGGCTGTGATGCATGGGCTTGCATCCGCAACCTGCAAGTCATGGTTGCAGTGCCTGCAGTGCTGCAGCTCCAAGCTTGCCTTAGGGGCTCTCGGTGTAGCTTGGGCATGGCGGCTGCCTCGCACCTGACAGGCCTCTTGACGCTGGTGCCGCTGGTCGGCTCGGACTCGCCGCTGCTCCCGCCCCACGTGAAAAGGGTCAGCGAGTTGATCCTGACCAGTGCAGGGCTGGGAAGCCTGGAGAAAGAAGACCTCCGGAAGCGAGTGTTGGACTCCAACTTGCAGGACGAGCACAAGGAGTCGCTGGCGGCGGCACTGCAGACGGGGTTCGTGGCCAAAGCTGCGAGGTCGCCGCAGCAGAACTGGGTGCACCTCTTCCACTACTTGCCGACAGCTTTGGTGCAGTGGCTGCAGGAGGAAGAGTGTGTCGAGACCAAGACGCTTAAGGTCCTGTCCTTCCTCGCGGAGCGAGGACTTCACAGCCCTTCTGAGCCAACCTTGGCAGTGGTGACGGTTCTGGTGAACTACCAAAACCAAGGCCAACTGCTGCAGCCGTGCAGCTCTCACGACCTCTTCTTGAAGTGCAAGTGCAGGGCTCGTGCCTTCCTGGACCGGTTGAACGGGAAGAAGCTTCCAACTGGCGGCCTGCAGGAGCTGCCCTGCGACCCTTGCTACCTCGCGGCCCCCAACGCCTTCTTCCAAGAGAAGCCCTTGAAGCCTTCTGTTTGGCCTCCAACCTGGCAGAACTTCAAAGCTCTGGTGGCTTGTGTGCCCTTGCGGTCGAACCACGGGGAGTTGGTGTCGGCTAAGCGCTACAAGCGGCAGCTCAGCCGCAGGCAGACAGACGTGGCGGCAACTTCCTGTGCGAGGCCGGCGTCCGTGCAGCCGGTGCCTCTGCAGGTTGTCGAGAAGCCCTTGCCAAACACGGCTGTGCTGCAGGAGGCCCCCCAGGTTCCGGAAAAGCCCGTGCTCCAAGAGGCCCTCCAGCTTCCGGAAAGGCCCGTGCCCCAGGAGTCCCTCCAGCTTCTGGAAAAGCCCGTGCTCCAGCTTCCGGAGAAGCCCGTTCTCCAGGAGTCCCTGCACCTCGCTGAAGAGTTCGTGGTGCCGAAGACACTCCAGCTTCCGGCTCGCTGTGTGCCGCAAGAGACCCTCCAGGTCCAGGAGCCGCCGCCCCTGGCAGTCCAGCCTCTACAGGACTCCTTGCAAGAGCCCTGTCAGCTTGCACAGGTTGCTCTGGAGGAGACAGCTGTCCCGAAGCTGGGGAAAAAGAGGAGTCTGCTGGAGAGTGTGGCCGACCTAGCCGAGCTCAGGAAAAACAAAGCCGCGAAAAAGGCCACGGAGCCGGCAGAGCCGAAGGAGGCAGAGGCACCTGCTCCAAAGCGAAGGGGGCGACCTCCTGCAGGCCCACAGCGGGCGTCCTCGCAGAAGACTGCCGCAGTGGACGTGGGACTGGACAACAAGGGCGAGGAGCAGGGCGAGGAGGCGGAGCAGCAGCTTGGCAAGCAGGGCAAGAAGCAGGGCAAGGCCGCCTCGCAGGCGAAGAAACACGAGGGCGAGAAGCAGCAGCACCAGAAGCCCGCCTCGCAAGTGAAGAAGACCCAGCAGCAAGACGAGAAAAGCGAGAAGGCCGAGAAGAAGCAGCAGCACCAGAAGCCTGCCTCGCAGGTGAAGAAGACCCAGCAGCAAGACGACGAGAAAAGCGAGAAGGCCGAGGCAGCAGCAGCAGCAGCAGCAGCAGCACCAGAAGCCCGCTTCGCAGGTGAAGAAGACCCAGCAGCAAGACAAGAAAAGCGAGAAGGCCGAGAAGAAGCAGCAGCAGGACAAGAAAGGCGAGAAGGCTGAGAAGAAGCAGCACGGCAAGGGGGGCAAGAAGGCTGCTGAGAAGAAGAAGCGCCAAAACACAACCCCCGAGGACCGTGAGAAGTTCCTCAAGACCTTGCCGCCAAAGGTGCTGAAGGCTTTCGCGAAAGGCTGCTCCAAGTGCCGGTGGCGCCCGTACTGCACGGTTTGCTGCTGGAAGCACCGTGGATACTGAAAGGTTCACTCCTGCAGCACTCGAAACTCTAAACTCTGAAACCCAAACCTTTAAGCGATAACGAAGCAGGATGATCGCTTTCAGATCCCGGATGCATCCGTGATCTGCAGCCATAGATCCTTTCCTCGTCGCTGTGTTCAGCGGAGGCCCATCGACCGGGCTTGCCGCCTGCTGGTTCTGTAGTTTTTTAAGCGACCCTCGCGGTCACCGACACTGCATGCTGAAGAGTCTAATTCAGAATTGAAGCAATCCATTGCTTTAGCCGTTAATTTGTATAATTTGCATCACACAGACAAGCTCTGCTGGCTGTCAAAACACTCCCGCAGCCGCAGCCTGCAATAGAGTCATATACAGAGTTGTAATAGCATCCCCCGAGTTTGTCGTTTTCAGACACACATTGTATATAGCACATACATATATATATATATATACACACTACTTTGTCGGCGGCCCTATATATATATATATATATATATATATATGGGTCGCTGCTTTGAGTGTAACTCCTTGGTTGGCGGCCCTATATGGGTCGCTGCTTACAGAGACGAACACAGGATTTTTTAGAGTGATAGTATAGCACTCTTATATATTCTCTCTTTCTATATCTTGTTGTCCAAACATGTGCATTATATATACTTATATACATATATGCAATATACCCATGCGAATACATGTACATGGACTCCGGGTCGCTTAGCAAGAGGCGGCCACTTTGGTCGCTTAGCCGCGGGCGGTCGCTTCGGACTGTGCAAGGAAGAGCCCGGTATTTTTTTCTCTCAAGCGCCGCAATGCCGCACTTTGTTATCCTCATCGAAGAGCATGAGGTGTTCGTGGACATCGAGTGGTGGAACGAGCTCACGACGAAAGAGACACCTGACTGAATATTACGACTGCGTTTTTTGTTTTCCTTGTTTGTCGGCGGCCCCATGGGTCGCTGCATGCAGACACGAGCAAATGTCGGCGGTTCTATGTGGGTCGCTGCATGCAGACACGAGCAGAGGCATGTGATCTGAAGTTCTTATACTCAGGCGGGAATGCTTCATGAAGGGCTACCTGGCGGCGAAGGCCCAGGAGAAGAAGAAGGAGGGGTACAAGGAAGAGAAGACCCCTGAGAGCTTTAGCCTTTGAAGGCTCCTGGCAGCTCTGACCCTCGAAAAAGGGCGCTGCTTGCTTGGGTGCCTTTGCGATATATATATATATATATATATATATAGATACAAATGTAAACCTATATAGCTACATATTTTCAAGCATATACAACCTTTCAACATTATACGGGCGGCCCTTTGGTGCAGCAAATACATGACATGTCTCAACAACTTTCCCTCCTTTATTCGATTTTCTATATCACTCACGTGTTGCTAGCTTCTTGGCGGCTCTGCTGGGTTGCTGCAGCATGCTGATCTCCCTCCTCTTTATATCCGATAAAGTATGAGATGTTATATATGAGTCGTTTGTTGGTGGCTTCTCGGTGGCTCTGCTGGGTCGCTGTAGCATGGTGAGAGAGACATCCCCAGAAGGTCTGCGACTTACATCTTTATACAGGTTCGAAGCATACTGAATCTCGTCAAGTTAGATCGAGCCATGGATCCTGCTGACGACAGCATCATCGCCGATTGCAACCCTGCCGAACTCGCGGAGATCTTGAAGAAGCACTGGTCCCTGGAGAACCGCAAAGAGCTGTGCAAGCACTTGATCGATGGCTTGGGCAAGTCGAGTGTGAAGCCGAGTACTGTGGTCCAGAGTACAAGTAGAAGCAGTGGCAGTGGTAAGCAGAAGAGTCACGAGCTCGCCGAAATCGCTGCTCCGTTCCACGACTGACCGAGCGACTGAAGGATCTGTGCACTTCCGCTTCTGAGAAAAGAGACTGGGTTGAGGGTTTAGGGTTTCGGACAGAGCATGCGGCTCGACTATACTGCGGCGGCTTTGCGGGTCGCTCCAGCCGCTCCAGTAGCCTATCTATATATATATAATATAATATAATATAATATAATATATATATATATATATATATATATATTTTATATAATATATATAATATACTACATAATATATATATAATATAATATATATAGTGTATATAATATATAAAACATATATAATATACAGAATATATAATATACATATATATATATATATATATATATATAATATATTATAGTGTATATTATATACATTATATATATATATATATAAAGACCTGTGAGAAAGATATATCGAAGCTGTCATATGCCATAGATCATATATATGTATATAAATAAACATAGAAATATGAATATATATATATATATATATATATATATATATATAGATATACACATAAATATGTTTATATATCTATATATGTATATGCATATATATATATATATATATATATGAATATGTATATATATATATATAGATAGATATATCCCATGTCTGGGCGGTTTAATGAATCGCTTGCATGCAGTCGTGTGCAGCGGGGCGGGCCTCTGGTTCGCTACATAAGATGGAGGCGGGCCTCTGGCTCGCTAGATATTTATATAGGCGGACAGGAAGATTTGCTGTCATTTGCAGCCTTGGCCCGAGCTCTCTGCCTCGACCATGCAAAGTGCCGTGCAGTTCCTGCGGAGCTGGGAAGCAGCTGTCTTCCGGGAGTACCTGCACAAGCGGCCGCCACCGCCTCTGGCCTCACTCGGGCTTCCCAGTGCGAAGGAGTTCGTCAATCTGCAACCACTTGTAAGTCCGAAACCTTAAACCCTAAACCCCTCAATCCTATACCTTATACGAAACCCTAAACCCCTAAACCCTGATGCCTATATAAGCCCCTAAACCCCAAACCCTATCCCGAACTCAGGAGCAGAAGGAGAAGGAGGCCAAGAACCCGAAGACCACGGAAGCTCTGAGGCGGATGGTCTCAAAGAGACACGTCGAAAGGACGGTCTTCAAGAAGAAGAAGAAGAAAGGCGGGAAGCGGCACAAGTGAAAAAGAAGATCTGCTTATAGGGAAGCCGGCAGTTGAGCTTCGCAGTGCACAGTTGTTTTTCGGCGGCGCTTGGGTGTCGCTGAAGGTATATAGCTAGTTGTTGTTTAAATCGTGTTCTTATATAGGGCGGTCCTCTGGGTCGCTGGAGTTGTGTCCTCATCCAAACACTTTTCTATAATAACAGCGGTCTTCTGGGTCGCTGCAGTGCATATATATATATATGTATATATACATATAGCCCCTATCCTCTGGGTCGCTGCTGCAGTGTCCTGTTTTTACTACTTCTCGCTTCGCACAGCGACCCTGTCTGCAGTGTGTGGTGTAACTATATATATATATACTGTATAACAGACATGTGAATAACAACAAGTATGCAACTGTCTGACAGCGGTCTTCTGGGTCGCTGCAGTTATATCTTATAAGAGCGGTCTTCCGGGTCGTTGCATATTCGTGTTAACCCATAAGAGTGGTCCTCCGCCTCGCTGTCGCCGTGTCCTCACCCAGGGACTCTTGTCTCATAAGAGCGGGCTTCCAGGTCGCTGCAGTGCATAGTGTAGGGCTATATAGCTACTGCACGATATTCGTCTTAACCTGGATAAGAGCGGTCCTCTGGGTCGCTTTAGCAGTGTCCTCATCCGTGACTTCACTGGCCCATCATTGGAGGGAGGACTGCATCTTGGAGCCTTCTAAACAGGGCCCAGAATCCTGCCTTGGGGCCTTGTAAACTGGGCCCAGAATCCAGCCTCAGAACCGCAGGCCGGGCCCCAAAGGGCCCAGAGGTGGCCCGCACTAGAACGCACTAGAATGCACTACAATCCGGGATGAGCCCCTTATAAGAGGATCCTATTATAAGGGGACCCAGGCTGAGGGCCCAGAGGTGGCCCGCACTAGAACGCACTAGAATGCGCTAGAATCCGAATCGGACCCGGCCGGCAGCAGTTTTGTGTCCAGAAGCAGCCCTGGGAGCCCTTGCTTTTAGGCACGGCAGGTGCCATGGACGCCTTGGAGACCCAGGTTGAGGAGGCCGTGCAGGAGACTCAAGTCGCGGAAAGCTTGGGCGAGCTGCTCACTTGTGCCAAGTGCAAGAAGCCTCACCCGGCGAGCTTGCTGCTGCAGAAGTCGAAGAACAGCTACCTCTGCAAGCCCTGCAACCGCTTGTCCGCCTTCGTGTCCAAGCTGGAGTTGCCGGAAGGCTTTACCTCCTTGACCTCCGAGCAGCTCGTGGACTTCTACGGCGACGTCAAGAAGTACACAGACGAGAGGACAGGGCGGCTAATTCACGAAAAAGTGAGTACCGCTGTTGTCCAAGTTCTGGAGAAGACCACCGAGAAGTCCCACGAGAGCAGCGAAGGAGGCGACTTCCTCCCGCTCTCTGTCTTGGTGATGAGAGGATGGGATCCCGAACTCGTGAAAGAAGCCGGGGAGTTCCTTGACCATCCGCGGCTCGGACCTTGCTATAAGATGACGGTCCTGAGTGAGTCCACTTCGCAGAAGAGTACCTTGAAGCGCAAGGAGTGCACGACTGTGAACCTGCGTGCGAAGAAGGGGAAAGGGACCAGGGCGTTACAAGCGGCAGCGGCTGCAGCTGGAGCTTCGAGTGCAACGGCAGGTGCAGAGACGGAGGACTTGGGCTTGCTCTCGGACGCCGAAGACGACGAGGAGAACGGCACTGAGACCAAGCAGGAAAGGCGGGACCGCCTGAAGCGGGAAGCCCACAAGAACAAGCAGCTGCAGAAGGACTTCAAGAAGCACACAGCGGCGGCTTCCAAAGCCGTGTCTGAGCTCCTGCCGCTGCTTGCGAAGGTTTCGGAAGAGACCAAAAGCAGCAGCAAGGCCCCGCAGCTCTTGGCAGAGGCCCAGGCCTTCCTGGCCGCAAGCACAGTGGGAGCAAGTCTGAGCTTCGAGCTTCTCCACGTCACGACCGAGGCCACCCTGCTCAAGAACTCCTTGTCTGCCGCAAAGCCTAAGAGGGCTGCGAAGAAAGCTGCTACCAAGAAGCCGGAGCAAGCTGAGGGCTGAGTCTGGACAAGTGTTTTCAGTTCCTGCCTCTACAGCGAGGCCTGGAAGTTCCGAGTTTTCTACCTCCTGTGTGAGGCCCACAAGTTTCTTTACCTCCTCTGCGAGGCCCACAAGCAGAAGACCCCTGCTGCACATGCCTGTATAAATCACGGATGCAAGCATATAGGGTATAAATGCATGTAACCGGCAACTCGGAGCAGGCTTTCCTTGCACCCTGATTTATATTGGCTTGTCGCACGAGCAGGGTCCGTACCACTACCTCCGCCACGTGTTCTTTCGACACGACCTGGTGCACGTTGGAAAGAAAAGGATTTCGAGTGAGACAGTGCTGCATGAGCAGTATATATATATATATATATATTGATGACATAATGTTATATATATATATATATATACATACCTATGTTCACGGCGGCCTCATATATAGAGTCGCTGCACATATACACAATATACAATTATATCGATCATCGGCGTCTATGTATAGTGTCGCTGTAATGCACATGGCATGTATATACTTTTTGTAGTCAAATACATGGCGGTCTCCTGGGTCGCTGCATGCAAGTTGAACGGCGGCTATATAGTGTCGCTGCAATGTACATGGCATATATATATATATATATATATATTACAGTCAAATACATGGCGGGCCCCCTGGGTCGCTGCATGCACGTTGCAAGGGAGGGACTGTGCTCGGCAAGCTGGCGGTGCTGGCAGCTGCTTTGCTTCAAGTCTAGTTTAGAGCCGGTGCCATGCGAAGGCGACTGGAATCTCGGGTGATCAAGGAAGGCCGTGTGGTGCGGTTTTGGCATGGCACGAAGCGGGTCATGGACATGATGTCCATACGAGCGGCCCTGGCCGTGCAAGGCAATGCGACTGTGGCAGCTGGTCTGCTGGCGACGGCAAAGAAGGAGCTGCCGCCGAGCGTTCCAGAGTCCGTGCCAGAGTCCGCCTCCTTGCTGACGGAGACTGAAGAGTTGCCTGGCAGGGCGGCTTCGAGGGAGGTTTTGGAGAAGGAGAAGAGGAAGGGCGTCACGACGGCACGGCACAGGAAGCTCGCGGCGGCGGCTGAGCGGATGGCCAAGAAGTGGAAGAAGTTCGTGGAGGTCACGAAGCCTACGAGGAAGGAGACGAACTTCAAGTACAAGTGGACGACGGAAGTCTGAGCCCGCTTGGAGAGAAAAACCAAGGGTATCTACTGCAGGGGTTTCAGAAAAAGCGGCCCTCTGGGTCCTGCCTCGGCAAGCGAAAGGCGGCCACTATGGTCGCTAGCTCCTTGCATACATATATATATATATGTATATATTATCTAAGCAGCCGGCGGCCATTATATGGTCGCTGCTTTTGTGTATGTATGTATGTATGTAGGTATGTAGGTATGTATGTATGTATATATATATATATATGTATGTATGTATACAGGTACATATATATATATATATGTATATACTTATTTATATTTGTTTCTGTGTTACGAGATACACAAATACCAAGCTGCAGGCGGCCACTTTGGTCGCTGTACATGTGCCATATAGAGGCGGTGACTTTCATCGCTTGGAAAGAGCAAGTGCTGATATGTGTTTTCTATTTCGCAGGCGCTTGGCTCCGAGCCGACTGAAATGTCGAGCCCAGAGCCGGAAGGTAGTGCCGCAGCGACGCCATGTAAGAGGCGGAAGATCAACCCTAAAAAGGGCAAAGGTCTGGGCGCCGTTGCAAAGGCGGAGCAGAAGGAGGAGGAGGAGGACAAGGACTACGACCCCTTCAGTGAGAAGCCTGCAGAGGGCACGGAAGGGGAGACAAAGTTCGAGTTGGAGGCGGGTGCGACAGAAAGTAGTGTTGCTAGGCGGCCCTTTCGGGTCGCTATAGTCGTGTTGCGAGGCGGCCCTGTTGGGTCGCTTTTAGGGTTTAGGGGTTTAGGGTTTCTAATGCCCCTGCTGCAGGACCCCCTTTTCGCCACAGTGGCTGCTGGAAAGAGCGAAGAGGTCAAGCCTCCCTGGCGGCAGCCTCCGGCCTTGGCGCCGAGAGTAATAAGACCGCCTCTACGACCTGTACGACCTCCTGCACTACCACAACCGCAGAGCACACCGCCGCCGAGTACGCCGCCGCCGAGCACACCAAGGCCGCCGAGCACACCGCCGCCCCCAAGGACACCACCGCCAACGACCCCGAGTGCGCCGAGTACAGGACCAGCTGGTCAGGGGGCGGCGAGTGCAGCACGACCAGCAGGTCAGGGGCCAGCCGGGCCAGCTGCAAGGTCAGCTGCACTGGAAGCACGACTTTTGTCGTTGAGAGGGTGCTGCGGACGGTGGGCCGGCTGACGGAGGATGCGGACCTGGTGGTGAGAGACCTGAGTCGCACTCTCTTTGCAGAGGCGGCAAGGGTCTGCCAGGACGATCCGTACGAGGACGCCTAGGGCCAGGGCAGAAAAAATGGATGTGTCTCGGCTTGTGTGACGGCGGGCCTCTGAGCTCGCTGCATGTTGTGCTTGCAGGGTTTGCAACGGCGGGCCTCTGAGCTCGCTGCCTGTTGTGCTTGCAGGGTTTGCAACGGCGGGCCTCCGAGCTCGCTGCATGTTGTGCTTGCAGGGTTTGCAACGGCGGGCCTCTGAGCTCGCTGCATGTTGTGCTTGCAACGGCGGGCCTCTGAGCTCGCTGCATGTTGTGCTTGCAGGGTTTGCAACGGCGGGCCTCGGAGCTCGCTGCATGTTGTGCTTGCAGGGTTTGCAACGGCGGGCCTCTGAGCTCGCTGCATGTTGTGCTTGCAGGGTTTGCAACGGCGGGCCTCTGAGCTCGCTGCATGTTGTGCTTGCAACGGCGGGCCTCTGAGCTCGCTGCATGTTGTGCTTGCAGGGTTTGCAACGGCGGGCCTCGGAGCTCGCTGCATGTTGTGCTTGCAGGGTTTGCAACGGCGGGCCTCTGAGCTCGCTGCATGTTGTGCTTGCAGGGTTTACAACGGCGGGCCTCTGAGCTCGCTGTTCATTTGTATATTATATATATATATATATATATATATATATATATATCTGTACGTTCATGCTTTCCTTTGTTGCTTTTGGCGGCTCTTTGGGTCGCTGCATACAGTTGTCATTGCCTGGATCACATGACTTGTTATTCTCCGATGCCATACATCCACAGCTTCAAGCAGTGCCAAAGAGCAGACTGCTGTAGTACATTATCTACGTAGACATGTGTGTGTATGTGAAATCGATGTTTGCATGGGATTGGCTTATACATTACACGCACGTAGCATCTCAAGGCTTTCATGAGAAACATATCAAAACTCAAGACTCCTTTGCAACTATATAGGTCATGGCGAAGACAACGACCGCTTGCCCGAAAGAAGGGTTGCTGGAAGATGTTTCGAAGGCTTTGGCGCGACCTGGTACTTCTTATCGGGAAGCTGCAGAAAAGCTGGGCGTCCACGTGGAAAAGGTCAAGAGGGCTGCTCACGAACTCGGCGGCCAGAAGCAAGAAGTCTGGAGTCTCTTACAGATGGCCGAGAATGCCATCATAGCCGTGGCCAAGCTGCCTGCACTGCTGACCCTTCTCTGTGCCCGGACACCGGCGCTTTTTGAGGCTTTTCGGAAAGCAGCTGTTCAGGCAGCCGAGAAGCCTCTAAGCCTCATACTGTCTTTCGACGAGGCGACAGCTGGGAACGTTCTAGCCCCCGATCCTGCAAAAAAAGCTTGCATGGTTTACATTGCTTGCAAAGAGGTTGGGATGCAAAATCCTGCTTTGTGGTGGCCTGTCAGTGTGGTGAGAGCTGACATAATGAAGCACCATCTCCATGGCAACCTCGGCATCGTCCTCCGCCACTTTTTGCGCACCAATCCTGCAGAGCAACTCACTGGTGGCTTTTTGGTGCAGGGTGCAGGCCAGCAGCCGTTCATCTTGAGAGTGCGCATCTCAGCGGTGATAGCTGATGGCGAAGCACTCAGACAGTCGCTGAGTTGCAAGGGCGCAGCAGGGCTCAAACCCTGTCACATGTGCAAAAACGTCATCAAGAAGAACCATGAGATGACAGGCTCCTTGCAGGGCTATCTTCAGGACATTTCTTCTCTTCCAGGTTCTTGGGATCGCATGACGGACGAAGATATTTTTGATTTCTGCGATGAGCAACGGCGACGAAAGATGGTCCTCTCTGCGGCCGCATTCAGGGAGGAAGAAACCCTGGCCGGCATTGTCTTCGATGAGCAGAGCTTGATCCAGGACCAATGGGCTCGACTTCAGCTGCCACCAAGTCTATTCATGTATGACTTCCTCCACATCTACTTCACGAAGGGTGGAGTGGCCAGTCTGGAGGTCGCTTACATTGTGCAGCGAGCAGCCGCAGCACTGAACGTGAGCAACGAGGACTTGGCGGACCTGCTGCGAGACCATGCCTGGCGAGTCCCTGGACACATCAAGAACTTTGCAGGGCCGGCAAACCGAGCCCGTCTGTTCGACTCCGCTCGCTTCTTGGACCTCGCCTACAAGTCCAAGGCTTCCGACCTCCAGCAGCTCCTGCCACTGCTCGGCTGCTTGCTTGAGATGTTGGACACGGACAATGTGCTGCAGGCGGAATTGCGCAGCTTCCACAAGCTGTTGCAAATTCGCAGGGAGCTTTCCAGACTGCAGGCCCTGGACAAGGTTGAGTGCACACAGACTTTGACCAGGCTACAGACCGAGCACCACCTTCTCTGTGTCCAGGCTTATGGACAGCAGATCCTCCGCCCGAAACACCACTGGAGGGTTCATGCTGCCGAACAGATTGAAAAGTGGGAGGCTTACGTGGACACCGCACCCTGCGAGACCAAGCACCAGATGCTCGGCGTTCTTCTGCTTGGCTCTTTAGACTTTAACTTTTTGAGTTTCTATATCAACTATAATATATAAGGATGCTAAAGGTTTAACTTTTAGGAGGGGTTCAGAAGTCCGCCAAGGATGTACAAGGGTGTGGCCGACAAAAACTATGACACAATGACGCATCATCGTGCTTGGTCGGAAGCAGTGGCGATGAGAATGGTTATTTCCTGCCACGAGCAGCTGCGAACGTTCTTTGCAGAGCAGGCCCAAGTTTTCTTGGGGAAACCTATCCGCTGCACGTATGGAGCTGGTCTGAGCTATCGGGCTGTCAGGCTTCATGGCCGCCATTGGGCACAAGGCGATTTCCTCTTGGAGCCTGTTCCAGGACAAATTGTGCGATGCTTGAAGGATTCCGCGGACAGGCCTGTCCTCTTGGTCAGGCAGTATCGGCCGGTGACAACCGCGGTCTTCAGCACTGTGTTTCGCCGCACATCCACTGTGCGCGAGTTGCACGATTTGCGACATGTCTATAGCCACACCAAAACCCGGCATCACATGGCTTCTTTTCCATCAGCGGCGGTGTCATATCGCTGCAAGTGCTATACCACAAAATATCAGCGGCGGTGTCAAATCGCTGCAAGTGCTATACCACAAAATATTGCAAAATGCACCAAAAAAGATAGGAAAAGATAAAAATAGATAAAAAAAGATAAAAGAAGATAAACAAAGATAACCATGACATATATAGAAGATAACATACATCATGTTAGAAGATAGTTTAGCCGTTATCTTGCCTCTAAGTAGATATATCTTCGGGCGACCAACCGTGTAGTCACGAACTATCACAGCACGTGTTTTCCAACCGCATCTGCGCAGGCATGTGGGCTGGAGACATAGGTTGGACACGACTGCCACAAGAACCGGCGAATGTCAAGCATGCTGGTGGTGGTTTCTACATCTGATCATGTCGCGCGAGGGTTGTTGCAGTCAAAGCCGAACGGACTTCAGATCGCATAAAGCCGCTTCGATGTGACGGCCATTAGCGTCATCTAGGTGACGGAGCCTCCTGCGACCTTCACAGGATTCTGGATAGGTGGTGCTGACGATGACAATGCCACGAGGACGGAGAGGTTACAAGAAAAGCGGTTGCTGCAGCAGCGGCACCACCACAACCGCCACCACTGCGCAACAATGACACTGCAGCGGCAGCAACAACAACAACACGGCCCCGGCCACCGGCAGCAACAGCGGCAGTGGGATTCTCATAGTCACTAACCCAGAGAGCCCAATACCCCTTAATTA